AAAAAAAAAAAGAAGGGTCATTTTAGAGGGCTCAGGTGTGCTGGAAATGTACTATATCTTGATATGAGCAAGAGTTACCCTGATATTTACATTTTTTTTTAATTTCAAGATGTATACTTAAGGTTTTTATACTTCATTCAATATACGTTATACTTGTTTTTTCTAATTAAGAAAAAATATAAATATTATTGAAATAAGTACACTGTCAGTATAAAAAGAATTGAGTCATCTTCATTAGAATATTTGTTGTATTGAGATTTTTGCTTCAATCAGATTTCATTAGAATTTCCATTTGGGTAACATTTCATGGTTCATTGGGCACTTTCACATAACATGATAAGAGATATGTCATTTGGGTGTATATCAGGGTAAAGATTCTAATTTACATCACTTGAACCATAAATGATATAAATTAATACCAAAAATCAGCAGCTTTTTATTTTTTTCAAGTTACTGTGTTGGAAATCTCAATATTGCATTACCAATTTCTGTCTTTTAGGCTAAGACATCAAGCACACAAAGAATTTTATGCCTACAAACAGGTGAGAAATTTAATTTAGATTGGCTTTGATTGTTTTTTCCCCCAAAAAAACTGAGAACTCTGATTTCCACTCATACTTTAAACTGGGACTGAATTTACCTGTGTTCATTTTGGCATCTCACTGCCAATTTGCAGTATAACATATCAACTTCATTTTCTTAAGTATCCTTCTCTTCTTTTATAAGCATTACTTGAAACTATAGAAAGTTCAGATAATATAATCATATAATTTAACAAGAAACTTGAGTCAACAGTTTGCTAAAGAGAAATGCTATAGCTTGTAATTCTTAAAGTAACTGTCAACTTAATGGAGTTCAGAGATACCATTAAGTGAAATTTTTACTTCCTTCTATATTAGAAGATATAGCAGTTCCTCAGAGGTGATCAGCTGTGTTACAGTGATCTCTTATACTCCCTTTTGTACTTTAAATGTTAGCTTATATTATCCACTAGAACTCTGCAAACTTGAATCATAGCTGTTAATACTGTACCTAGTCCTTCACTGATTTTGTCTTTAAGTTAATGTGCTTATCTTTTCTTGAAGGCCAAGTACAATTATTTTTTTCTTCCATTAATATTTTACCACTGACACCAAACAAGGGGCCTAGATTTTCCTTTGGCCCTAAGCATTAAATTCTTAATTTTTGTTACCCGTAGCTTTCTTGTTGGGTAGTGAGGAGCTTCAGCTTATTTGAGTCTTTAACCTTGCTGACACTGATGTTATAGGACAGTGTTACCACTTCAGGACTGCATATCTTTCTGTTCATCTTTCATCTATGTATCTTTGAAATCTGAGTTCATTGGCACATTCCCTAGATGTACATACTGATGTCCTTAGGTAACTCCACACTCTTCCCTGTAGGTCTCATGTGAGATCCATAATCAGCGTTGAGTATTTTAGTTTTTTTTTTTTTTTTTTTTTTTTTTTTTTTTTTTTTTTTTTTTTTTTTTTTTTTTTTTTTTTTTTTTTTTTTGAGACCAGGTCTCTGTCACTCATGCTGGAATGCAGTGGCACGATCACAGCTCACTGCAGTCTTGGCCTCCTTGGGCTCAGGTGATCCTCCTGCCCTTAGCTGGGTGTGGTGGCGCACATAGCTGGGGCTACAGGAACACACCACCACACCCAGCTAATTTTTGTATTTTTTTGTAGAGATCGGTCTCACCATGTTGCCGAGGCTCCTATCATAATCTTTTGTTTTGTTTTTTGGTTTTATCTGGTTTTGAGACAGGGTCTCACTTCTGTCACACAGGCTGGAGTGCAGTGGTGCGATCTCAGCTCACTGCAACCCCTGCCTCCTCGGCTCAGGTGAGCCTCCCAAGTAGCAGGTATTACAGGCATGCACCACCACACCTGGCTAATTTTTGTATTTTTTGTAGATACAGGGTTTCACTATGTTGCCCAGGCTGGTCTTAAACTCCTGGGCTCAGCCAATCTGCCCGCCTCAGCCTCCCAAAGTACTGGGATTATAGGCATTAGCCACCGCACCTGGCCACCTGTTATAATCTTGACAACCTACAAGATATTTGTATGTAAGCTAACTAGAAAGTAAAATTGGCCTTTGCAGTCACTTAATAAGTGAAATTGACTGATAAAACTAATCAAGTCATAAGATGTACAGTAAATTTGATCTTTGAAATATGTTGGCTAGGAAATTTAATATATCCCTGTGAGGCCAGATACTAGCTTCTGGTTGTGATTTCTGAAAACATGATTTGCCCTCAAATCTATTTTTAGTTTGGGAATATAAGACACCCAAAATTAAATTTTACTTGCCTATTATATTTTTTCATTTTAAGATGAAATTTAACTCTAATAAGCTATGTTTAGTCTCAGAGTTTCTTCTTAAATAGTAAACTTCCTTCTTATCACTTGGCATTCATTTTAACTACTCACCACGGAGTCAAAACTTTCAAATTTAAGATTGACTTACTTTTTTTTTTTGAGATGGAGTTTTGCTCTTGTTCTCAGGCTGGAGTGTAATGGCGTGATCTCTGCTCACTGCAACCTCGGCCTCCTGGGTTCAAGCAATTCTCCTGCCTCAGCCTGCTGAGTAGCTGGAATTACAGGCAGGCACCACCACGCCCAGCTAATTTTTGTATTTTTAGTAGAAACAAGGTTTCACTATGTTGGCCAGGCTGGTCTCAAACTCCACTCCTGACCTTAGGCAAACCACCCACCTGGGCCTCCCAAAGTGCTGGGATTATAGGCATGAGCCACCACGCCCAGCCCAATTTACCTTTTAATCTTTCATAAATTACTAGTTAGTCCCATCAGTCAATGCTGTGTTTTACTGAATTGTGAGGCAGTCGGCCTCATTTATTTTCCCCCCTTATTAGCACTTAGTCCAGATGGGCATGTGTTGTTAATCTCTTTTCTCAAAATTTAATCTATTTTCGAAGAGTTTTCTTTGAGACAGAGTTTCCCTTTTGTTGCCCATGCTGGCATGTAATGGTGAGATCTCAGCTCACTGAAACCTCTGCCTCCCAGATTCAAGCCATTCTCCTGCCTCAGCCTCCACGTAGCTGGGATTACAGGCATGTGCCACCACGCCCGGCTAATTTTTTGTATTTTTAGTAGAGACAGGGTTTCTCCATGCTGGTCAGGCTGGTCTCGAACTCCCAACCTCAGGTGACCTGCCCGCCTTGGCGTCCCAAAGTGCTGGGATTACAGGCATGAGCCACTGCGCCTGGTCTTCAAAGAGATTTTTTAAATTGCTTTCTTTCTTTTTTTTTTTCTGAGACAAAGCCTCCCTCTTTCACCCAGGCTGGAGTGCAGTGGAGCAGTCTCAGCTCACTGCAGCCTCTGCCTTCTGGGTTCAAGAGATTCTCCTGCCTCAGCCTGCTGAGTAACTGGGATTACAGGCAGGTGCCACCCTACCTGGCTAATTTTTGTATTTTTAGTAGAGACAGGGTTTTACCATGTTGACCAGGCTGGTCTCGAACTCCTGACCTCAAGTGTTTTGCCTCCCAAAGTGCTGGGATTACAGGTGTGAGCCACCATGCTCCACCAAAATTGCTTTTTAGGAGAATATTGCATCATTGCTCAAGTTAAAAAAATGTTGCTACAATGATCTGTCTTAAACTGTAAAAGAAATTCTCTCCAATATCGAATATGAGGGAAATGAGCTGTATATACAAAAGAAAAATATTCGTGAGTATAATGAGAAGTATTTAAAATTACAGATTTATATACTCCAAGAATATTATAAAAAAAATAAATAAATTACAGATTTAAATGGGCTTAAGAACATACTTTTTTGTCTTACAGGTTATATTAAAAGAGAAAGTAAAAGAATTGAATTTACATGAGGTAAGTTGATGATAAGTAATTTAATCTTCCGCCATTTTCTGGTAGCAGTGATATGCTGTGGTATGTTTAAACACTTTTATTTGCAGTAGTTGAAAAAATTAGGCTTATTTTGATTGGGGTAATAGAATATTTGAGGGTGGAATCACATAAGAATCAATTGTGTGAATGCTTTACGAGAGTAATATAACTCATACTTTTAATAGGGATGACACCATTTCATAGCAGCAGGGATGCTGTAAAATTTCATAGCAGCAGGGATGCTGCTTGCTCTCCATGCTGTATGAATAGGAAACAAATATGTTAGTTTTTCTACTCAAGATGAGTATGTACTAATTTCCCCATTGAAAATGTTCCCAGTATTTCTTTCTTACCAGTGGTACAAAGAAGGGAGCAATTATCTCATGGGGCAGGGATTTGAGAAGGTAAGACAGATGGAATAGGGGAAGAACGTATAGGTAGAGATATGAATCCTTGGGATTGTTTAGCTATTCAGTTGCATAGTTGGGTCATAGGTGCCTTGGAACTTAAGTACAAACGGGTGTATATATCCTGCTATATACATTAAGATACATAGCCTGTAAAAATTCTTTTTAATTCTGTTCCTTGTATTGCCTCTCACTACGAATTTTCAGAGTTTTTTTTTTTTTTTTATCACCTTTTCTTTCTCCCTTTCTGGGTTTTCTAATTGGTGTTTAAAGCAAGGACTTGGAAAGCTGTGTTTTGTAATAGCTGTGTTGTATACAGCCTAACCATGGTGAAGCTAAATTGCCAGTCTCTTCAAAGAAAGTTAATTTGTTAGGTTATTTGAATAATAATAAAAATAATAATTACTGAATACTTTGAAATCATCTATTGCTCTTTTGCTCTTTATGCACATTTTTTATCAAAGATTTGATATGTTTCTGTTTAATAGCATTTAGACCTAGCTTTGGATTAAACTGAAGCATTAATTACTGTTTGATTTTTTACTTTTCCCAGAAGTTAATTTTGACACACAGACAAAATTAACATGAAGTAGTAGAAGGTGGTCTGTTTTCCATTTGGAGTCTTTTTGATGACCATAAATGAAAATATTACATTTTTATCAGGTTTATCTGGAACAGAAGTCTTCCTTATTGGTTTGACCTATTAGTTTAGAAACTTTGTCCTGAATAAATACACTATGTTGCATCAATATGTATCAGAATTCATATCCAACTACACCCACCAATTCCTGTTTCACTGAAGCTGGCCATTTGTATGTAGTCTTGGATTCTTTTTCACCATAGTCTTCCCAGCTTTGGTCATGGTGAGTTGCTTTCTCCACTGAAATTCTTTTGCACCTTTTTCAAAAATCAAATAGCCATATTTTTGTGACAGTATTTCTGGATTCTCTATTATAGTCTCTTGATTTATGTGCCTGTTTCTTCATCGGTACCACGCTGTCTTGATTATTATAGCTTTATAGTAAATCTTAAAATCAGGTAGTGTGATTCTTCTAACTTCATCCTTTTCCAAAATTGTTTTAGCTAGTCTAGGTCCTTTACCCTTCCATGTAAATTGTAGCATCAGCTTGTCTGTATCTACAAAAAAAAAAAAAATCCTGCTGGGATTTTGATTCATATTGCGTTAAATCTATAATTGTGTTTAGAGAGACTTGACCTTTACCATGGTGAGTCTTCTCACCTGTGAACACATTATGTCTTTCCATTTATTTATTTATTTGAAGCTCTGTTGTTTGGTGTATACACATTGAATATCTTCTTGGTGAATTGACCCTTTTGCCAAGGTCTCTCACCGGGTAGGGTGGCTCACGCCTTAATCCCAGCACTCTGGGAGACTGAGGCAGGCAGATCACCTGTGGTCAGTAGTACAAGACAAGCCTGGCCAACATGGTGAAACCCCATCCCTACTAAAAACACAAAAATTAGCCAGGCATAGTGACGGGCACCTGTAATCTCAGCTACTCGAGAGGCTAAGTTAGGAGAATTGCTTGAACCTGGAGGTAGAGGTTGCAGTGAGCTGAGATTGTGCAATCATTGCACTCCAGCCTGGGGAGCAAGAGCAAACCTCTGTCTCAAAACAAAACAAACAAGTCTCTCTTCATCCCTGGTAAATTTCTTTGCTTTGAAATATTTGTCTAGGCCAGGCACGGTGGTTCACACTTGTAATCCCAACTCTTTGGGAGGCTGAGGTGAGAGGATTGCTTGAGCCCAGGAATCCAAGACCAGCCTGGGCAACATAGTGAGACCTCATCTCTGCAAAAAGAAAAAAATTAACTGGGCATAGTGGCACATATATTGAGTCTCAGTTACATGGGAGGCTGAGGTGGGAGGATTGCTTGAGCCCAGGAGGTTCAGGCTGCAGTGAGCCAAGATCGTGCCACTACTCTCCAGCCTGGGTGACAGAACAAGACCCTGTCTCAAAAAAATAAGGAAATATCTTTCTGATACTAATATAGCTACCAGCTTCCTTTTCATTATTTGCATGGTATGTGTTTTTCCATCTTTTTCTTTTTTTTGGAGATGGACTCTCGCTCTGCTGCCCAGGCTAGAGTGCAGTGGTGCAATCTTGGCTCACTGCAACCTCCACCTCCTAAGTTCAAGCAATTCTCCCGCCTCAGCCTCCTGAGTAGCTGGGATTATAGTTGCCCACTACCATGCCTGGCTAATTTTTGTATTTTTAGTAAAGACGGGGTTTCACCATGTTAGCTGGGCTGGGTCTTGAACTCCTGACCTCAGGCGATCCACCAGCCTCAGCCTCCCAAAGTGCTGAGATTACAGGCATGAGCCACTGCGACTGGCTTCATCTTTTTATTTTCAATCTACCTATTGAATTATATTTGAAGTAAGTTTTCTAATAGATAGCATATAGTTGGGTCATGTTTCTTTATCCACTCTGCCAATATGTCTTTTAATTTGTATGTTTAGATCATTTACATTCAGTGCAATTACTGACACGGTTAGAATTAGGTTTACCATTTTTTGTTTGTTTGTTTTCTGCTTTTCTCTCTTTTTCATTCTGTTTTCCTTTTATTGCCTTCTTTTGGGTTATTAGAACATTTTTTAGTATTTCATTTTAATTTATCTATTATGATTTTTACCTTATGTCTTTGTATAGTTTTTTAGTGGTTGCCCTAGGGGGTTACAAAATAAATATTTAGAATCAGTTTTTTAACACTCCAGTTGGATCGTAGAGACATTGCCACAATATAGATCTCCCCCTTTTTTCCCCCTCTTTGTGCAGTATCTGTCATATTACATCTATATACATTGAAAAATCCCATCAGTGTAATATGTCTTTTCTTTATCAGACACATCTTTAAAAACTCAAGAGGCAGGCATCTGCCTGGAGTCCAGAAGATTGAGACCAGCCTGGGCAACATGGCAAAACCCCATCTGTATAAAAAATACAAAAAATTAGCTAGGTATAGTGGCACATACCTGTAGTCTCATCTACACAGGAGGCTTAGGTGAAAAGATCACCCAAGCCTCAGAAGTAGCTGCTGCAGTGAGCCGAGCGTTGATTGCACCACTGCACTCAAGCTTAGGTGACAGAGTGAGACCTTGTCTTAAAAAAAAAAAAAAAAAATTCAAGAGGGGAATAGCCTTACATTAATTCAGATTTTCACCATTTCTGTTGCTAGGCATTCCCAATGTTCTAAGTTCCTTCTTATGTCATTTCCCTTTTATCTTCATAATGAACTTTCCTTTAGTAATTTTCTTAAAGCAGGTCTTCTGGCTATGAATTCTGTTAGTTTGCCTTCATCTAAGAATATTTTTATTTCACCTTCATTCCTAAAGGATATTCTTGTATATAGAACTCCAGGTTGACAGTTGTTTTAGCACTTTAAAAATGTTATGCCTGTTTCTTCAGGCCCTTCATGGATCCTGATGAAAAATCCAGTCATTTGAATCATTCATTCCCTATCAGTAAGGTATCACTTTCTCTGGCTGCTTTTAAGATTTTTTCTTTTTCTAGTTTTCATCAATTTTATTATGATGTCTGGGCATGGATTTATTTGGATTTATCCTGTTTGCCATTTACTCAGCTTCATGAATATGTGGGTTTGTCTTTTGGCAAGCATAGGAAGTTTTCAGCCATTATTTCTTCAAATTTTTTTTCTGCATTTCACTCTTTCTGTATCCCGAAACTCCATTGACAAAAATGTTAGAACATTTGTTGTTGTTCCACAAGTCTTTGAGAATTTTCTTTTTAGTATTTTTGAATTGCATGAACCAAGGAGTTCAAGACCAGCCTGGGCAACATGGCAAAACCCCATCTCTACAAAAAAATACAAAAATTATCCATGTGTGGTGGCATGCACCTGTAGTCCCAGTTTTAGAATCAGTTTTTCACTGAGGAGATGGAAGAGTCACTTGAGGGTATAATGGGAAGTTGATGGTATAATGAGCCAAGATTGTGCCACTGTACTCTAGCCAGAGTGACAGAGCAAGACTCTGTCTCAAAATTATATACAAAGGCTGGGTGTGGTGGCTGAGGCCTGTAATCCCAGCACTTTGGGAGGCCGAGGTGAGCAGATCACCTGAGGTAAGGAGTTCAAGACTAGCCTAGCCAACATGGCTAAACCCTGTCTCTACTAAAATACAAAAATATGCCAGGCATGATGGCAGGTGCCTGTAATCCCAGCTACTTAGGAGGCTGAGATGGGAAAATCACTTGAACCCAGGAGGCAGCAGTTACAGTGAGCCGAAATTGTGCCATTGCAGTCCAGCCTGTGTGACTGAGCAAGGCTCCATCTATTAAAAAAAACAAAAACAAAAAACGATGAGAGCTAATAATGAATTCATCAAGTTTCCTAGATATAAGATTAATATATAGGCCAGGCACAGTGACTCACATCTGTAATTCCAGCACTTTTGGAGGCCAAGGTGAGCGGATCACCTGAGGTTGGGAGTTCAAGACTAGCCTGACCAACATGGAAAAACCCCCTCTCTACTAAAAACACAAAATTAGCTGGGTGTGGTAATGTAATCCCAACTACTCAGGAGACTGAGGCA